ATGGCAGAGATCTTTCTTCACCCTGACAGATAATGCCATTTAGGTGGTCCAGGTTCTAGCTAATTGTAGAATTGGAAATAACAGTACATTTAGTGAAATGTTATGTTATATGAATTTTAAGTAGAATAATGAAGATATGCCAATAATTTTTAGGCAAAAATACCAGCACTTTTTTTTAATCCAAATGAACAAAATCCTTTAAAGTGGTCACTTATTCAAAGCATATTTGAAATACCTTTCTTTGTATTACCTTGGGTCAATTTGTAAGACACATAAGCCATTTGGGGCCAAAACGATTATGTGCAAATTACTTACCAGATTTTATTTTAAACGAGTTTGGGCTTTCGTCAAAATCAAATTCATCCTACATTGGGAGACATTCTAAAGAAGCAATTTTAAAACTGACTTGAATGATGAGTTTATTCTTAGAATGAGTACAGAGTGATCTCCAATTACTGCATGGAAGGAGACAACATTCATTTGGATAGTTAAGTTCCAATGTATTGATTTTAAAGGCCAGTAGGGGATAGTTTGTACAATTAATTTCTGTAATTGAGTTTAAATGTGAGATAAAATGAAACAGTGGGTCCCCCTTCTGCATCCCTTTAGCAGGAGCTTTCCACATTGGTGGGGATCTGGACCCTAAATGCATCAGGTGGGGTCCTGGCCCTACCTACATTCAGATACTCCTCAAAGCTAGATGTGCCTGCAGCTTATTATCTTATTCACAGTTTCATCATAGAGTCTCTCTTTTAAATCTCAAAATAAATATTTAATTTCTCAATTTTACTTTTTTCCTGTTCTAAACTTCATGAATAGAATTATTTCTTATTGCAATTAGCTTGGCTGTGATGACATGGATGTTGCTACGCTCTTTCATTCAGCTTATATTTTGGCCACTTCTGTGGGTGCTTTTTCAGTATATACAATCATGCTTCTGCAGTCGTTATGATCTGGGCACCTAGCATGGTCTCCCAGATAGCATTTTGCTGAAGTTGGGATGTAATCCTTTTTACTTTCATATTTATTATAGATACAGGAGAAGATTTTTATTCTAACAATAATATAAACAAGAAACAGGAACTAAAGTTCTCTTTATTTACATAAGATTAATTTGAACGATTAAAAATAAAATACCAAAATTGATGATATTGAAAGAAGGAGAAGGCACAGTATTCTCTTGTTTATTGCCTCTGGGCCACAAAACAGGTTTCTGAGTGCATTGAATACACAGCGTATCTACCCTTTGGCTTTCCTCCTCCCTAGTCCCTGAGTGACCTGGCTCAGGGAGAAGTTGGGGCACGAGGGCAGAGGCACAGGAGGGCCCATCTTGCCAGGCTGAATCAGGCCAAAGCAGCTGCTGGCCTGGGCATGAGTGTGGGCGGCCACCTGTGTCTCCCCAAACAGCTGTTTGGTAGAGGGCCAGCCAAAGCCCCGGTGCAGGCCGGCGGCCAGTTGGGCGGCCAATACATTCTGGCATGGGCTGAAAGAACACCTGGTTCCACTCTGTGGACCCACCACAGAAGGTCAAAGAATGTGCTTGCTGGCGGCAACCTGATGGCTCAACTTTTCAAGCCCTGATGGTCTGGCTGTGATTGAAACAGAAAGAAACCCACCTTTCTTCCTTATCACGTATCCTGAAGCCAACGTGGAAGTCATTCTGTTCCAGTAATGTTGAAATAGGTCAGCAAGGCCATCTGTCTGGTATGTCTGGAAATGGTACACCAGACTGTCAGGCAGGGATAGGCTCCATGATTTACAACAAGATATTTCAGGGGAGATGAGAGCCCGTTTGGCTGCTAACTGTCACTGAGAAATCTTCCATCCTAGAATGTCTCTGACCTTCCTTTTCCTCCTCTTGCCATTAACTCATAGAAACCACTTTAGGTCCCCACTTGTAATTCTGTTATCACACGTTGAGATTCCCATAGTTAATACTACTGCCTACCAAGACAGGAGCCCAAAGCTCCCTGTTCCCTGACTCCTGAGGCCTCTCCCAAGTCCTCAGGCCCATTGTTCATCAGGAAAGAGGACCTTATTTCCTGTGGTCTGGTGAGTGGGTATCTCTCTAGGCAATAAGCACACTTCCCAACCTTCCCGCCCCAGATGCAGACCTGGCAGCTACTTCTCTGTGTGCTGAAGAGGTGATACTCCTCACATTGGTCCTGTGACCCCTGGCAACTTCACCTCTCTGTGCCTCAGTTTTAGCACTTGTCAATGGGGACTGATAGTACTGTCCTCCTAGTTTTGTTGTAGACCACTCAATGAGACATTATATAGTAATCTCTCACAAGACCTGGGTACAGCAGATGCTTAGCAAATATTAGCCGTATGAATGAATGACTATGGCTGATGCTAGTCTCCAGACACAGAGGCTCACACCTGGCCTGGAGTGGCCCTAGACTGGGACTTCCTGCTGCTACCTTTGCTTGGAATTTCAGGGGCCTCATCTCACAGTTACTGCTTTGCTAGCAGGAATTTCAAAGTGAGCATAGTTCTGTGGGCCCATAAGGGAACTTGCTACCCACAGCTGCCCTTGCTGGGGGGCACAGCCAAGTCTCCTCCCAGAATCCTATCAGCTTTGAGCTAGTAGAAGCCACCTAGTGTTGAACCATCAACCTGAAAAAGGCACTCTGACTTCTAGGAGGCCTAAAGTTGGGGGATAACTTGTCCCCTCTTACATGAAAACTTTCTGGAAGGTAGCATGTCCAAGCCAAGAAGAAACCTCTTTTCTTTTTTTAAATTTACTTTTATTTTTAGTAGAGACATGGCTTCACCATGCTGGTCAGGCTGGCCTCGAACTCCTGACCTCATGTTCTGCCTGCCTTGGCCTCCCAAAGTGCTGAGATTGCAGGCGTGAACAACTGCACCCGGCCAACCCCTTGATTTTTACAAGCTTTAAGGTCTGGGCAATGAAATCTGATTGGTCAGGCATGATGTTGTGTACTCTTGAGTTGAATGGGAATATTCAGGCTCCCCAAATCCCTAGAGTCAGGGACATCAGGTAGTATTGGGCCCTTGTGGAAACCACACAGTGTCATTCTGGTGAAGACAGGACATAGCTGTGGAAATTCACTTCATCGCCTATGCAGCTCAAAGCTTTCAGTGCGTTAAGGAGAACCATTGATCAAAAGATAACATGGGCATAACCTTGGTTTCCTCACCAAGTGGAGCCAGCTTTCAAACTACAGTTTCATTTCAGGCCTCAGATATCATCTGTGGATGAAATGGGGGACAATGAATGCTAGAAATAGCCCTCTGAGAAAAAGTGGGAGAAAATGCCATTTTCTTTTTAAGTTCAAGCTTGAGGTTTTTAACTCAGGCACAAAACCATTGTGAACAGCTAGCTGTTCTTTTTGAAAACATGTTAGTTTATTCCACACATTTGATGATATGAATGAGAGAGAATTCCAAACAAAGCTTATGTGTCACTTTTAAATGCAGCAACTTTCCTGTGACCACTTAATTAGAATTTTTCAGTTCTCTTGGGCTGTGACTTCTTTTTTTACACGAACAAGATTTCTTTTTCCCTCTTTAAAAAGTAATGAGTCTTATACTAGCCATGTAAATTCACATGTTTTTGTTCCCAAGACCTAACTTTTTCCTGAATTTGCTTGGAAAAACATCTGGCCTTTTGGAGCATAAAGGCTTAAGGATGATACCCGTGCTCCCTGAGGAGTGGCCGAATCTCCATGGAAGGCAGACTGTCCTTGGAGTCAGTATCCTAAGCAGAATAGTGTCCTTTTGACATGACAAAGGGATAAAAGGCACTTAATTAGAAGTTTGAAAACAACTGTAGCTGAAAAGATAGACTAGATTCAAAACTTAATAATCTAAGCTAAAGTAAATCTTGTTTCTTGGTATTACTCCCTCCCCAACCACAGCAGAAACTATCCTTTGCAACTGCAGTGGGAGGTTAAAATGGTTGGTATCCAGAGTCTTCTCATGAACTATTCATAGTTCAGTAGCTTTTGGCTGCTAAGGTAAACTTGGAGAAATACTCTCCTAAGACTTTCTAATTATCTCATGTGACACAACCTGATTTCTTCTAATGAAGAAACAACTGGATATGATGTGTATGAGACATCAGAGTGGTAGAATAAAGCACCGTCATGCCTGGACAATTCATATCTTTTCTTTTTTTTTTTTTTTTTTTTTTTTTTTTTTTTTTTTTTTTTTTTTTTTTTTTTTTTTTTTTTTTTTTTTTTTTTTTTTTTTTTTTTTTTGGTAGAGATGATGTCTCACAATATTGCCCAGGCTGGTCTCCAACTCCTGGCCTCTGATGATCCACCTGCCTTGGCCTCCTACAGTGCTGAGATTACAGGTGTAAGCCACTGCACCCAGCCAATTCCACTCTTCTAATGTAATTGATGAAGTTGTCATGAAAGTACTCAAATAGCTAAGAATGCAGGAGGGTCATCTTCATATTCAAATTTTTTTTTAGTTACCTTTGCATATCATTGTATCCCTCAACTCAGCAAACACTGAACTATTAGTTCTTCAGCCCAAAAGGAAATGCTAAAGGTAGAAAGTGGGCTTATCTTGTTTTTCCGCCCTGACTAGAAAAATCTTTCAAGTATGAATTCATTTGGTTTAGTGCCCTTGGCACATGAAATATCTTGCATCCTCCACTATACTAAATAATTTACATGGAAGGCAAGAAAAGGAGAGCAAAATAATTGTACGCTAGCAATTGAAGGGGTGTGGCAGTGGCCAATCTGGACTTCCTTTAGGGCCTCAGAAGAGTGGCTGGTGGTGTCTGGGGATGTAGCCCTACCATTAATACCTGAAGCTCTTGCGTTTAGATAGGACTGAAGGACTAAAACACACAGAAATAGATGCAATCCCTGAGGAGGGTAATAAGGATACAGCAAATCATCCCAATCCTAGATACTACTTGGATAATTTGGATAATGTAGGTGTGGTATCCCAAGGAAATTCATTCCTGGTACTGCAAGTTTAACACGAGCTTTTCAGGGAATAGACGACTTCAATCTGTATCATTACTGTAAGCTGAATTTTTATTTTACTAAATTACCTATGTCAAAAAAAAATTCTGTGCCTGGCGTGGAATTTCACTCCATCAAGTGTTACAATGATTTTTTTTCATTTTCATTACAAGGAGGAGAATGAATGTAGGACAAGTGTTAGGAAACATGGCAATAAATTAGAATATAATTTACAAAAGCAAAAAAATTAACAGTGTACCACATTATTACTGAGTATAAAATAATAAGCAACAACTAATCACAATAATACAAAGGTAATTTCATTCTGTGTTACTGAGGATACCTATGTGACATTCATTCAAATAAAAAAGTTCCTAATAAAATGGACTGTTTGGAAATCATATGTATCTCACAGGGTTTAATCATTAGGGTACATTTACCTTTCCTTTTTTAGTAGGCCTTTATTCCACTGGCAGATACTGCTCCCAGGTGCAGGGTACCAGTTTCCCTGGGGTTCCGTAAGTAGTCTACATAGCTCACTACTTTTGGAAAGTCTGCCACGGTGGCCCAGCCTCCACTGACAATCCTGTTGTTATTATTTAGGAATAGGGCATCATGTAGCCACGGGGGTGGCTACAGAGTAGCAGCAGTATTGTGATGTGCTATGAAATACAATTTTTTTTAACCTACTCATGTTTAAATTCAAGGCCTACCTGAAACTGTTTCATCCTGTTACATTCTGTGTTTGGCTCCCTCTAGAAAGGCACACCAATGCTGCTCCTGTGTGTGCCTACATCCTGCCCTCAGAGCTGGGGCACATCCTGGAGGTGACACTGGCTGCCCTCCTCTTCCAGCATCAGCCACGGTGCTGTGCAGTGCCTGGGGGACGGCCCTCACAATGGTAGTTTCCAGGTGAGGTAAAAAATAGCTTTTAGTTGGTAATAGGAAATCTTTTTGCAATAAAAACATGAGCTGATATTTATGTTGGAGAAAATCAGATCTGGATTGCAAATCCATGCCTAAAATGCCACAGAAACCACCCACCTTTTATTTATTTATTTCACCAGGGCATATTAGCACCAAGGTGACTGTTCTTTGAAAAGGCTCAAGGGAATTCAGTGCTCAGGCCATGCTGCCCGTGGGCTGCTTGTTCTTCACTGAATGGCTAAGATGGCACTTGGGCTGGTCTTCTAAGGGCATCATAGATCTGGGCCCTGGTGATTCCTCTTATTCCTGGTGTATAGCTCTCTATGAAGGGCTCAGGGTTAAGAACTGTGGTTTTGAGAGAGAAAGCAGGTTAACAAGATACAGATGGTCATGACTGAGAGTGTAGAAAACATTCTGTGCCGATTGTCCACAGCAAACCTGGGAGTTTAGATTGGCTTTTCGTATCTGAGGGTCTATCTTCCTTTTGGGAAAAACCTATTCATCCTCATTAGACCATGGTATATGTGACACACTGACGTGTAATTTCAGAGCACCGTGATGGAATCAAGTCAAACATGCTCTTTAACTGAAAGTATTAACCTTACAAAATATCCATTTAGTCTTTGAGTTTTAGGTGTTGGTGCATGCATGGTGTACACCTGTGTACAAAGGGGAGGCGTGTTGGACACAAAGCACATTCATCAAGAACCTGCTGCAAGCTACACGTGTTCAAGTACAAAATATTAATATAAACAAGTACCCTTTTTTATTCTGAGTCTTGCTGTTGAGTCTTGATGAGCAGGATGTGAAACTTGAAGACAGGGAAAATATTAGCTAGTCATTTTAATTTAGGTGGTTGTGATTCTAGAATTTGACTTGCCCAAGAAACTGGGTTTCACATTTAATTGCCATTCAGAGTATCCATAAAAAATACAAAATACTTGATTGAGTGACTATTAAAATTATGCTTTGTGATGTCTAGTCTCCATGAAATTTTCTTCTTTGGTTATTATCCCTTGCCTACTTTAAAACTCACAGAAATAGCACATTATGTGCAAGCGCACTTATCTATCCACACACTTAAAAGCGCACACACGCGCGCGCGCGCGCGCACACACACACACACACACACACACACACACACACACACTTGCTCTCATATAAATAAATGCCCTTCTACCATATCAAAGAAGGGACATCTGGAACCCATCGTAATTGTCAGCAAATTGCAAAAGGGTCTGCCTGGTTGTTACCGAGCCAGTCTATCTTTTGCATGGTATCATCTCAGTAAGCTCAACACGTGTGCAGCAATCCAAAGGGCAGAAGCCGTGCTGTGGCTGAAGAGGATGTAAACACAAGTGAGTTGGGGGGACTCAAGAACTAAGGCATCCTGTGTGATGGCAGCAAAGGGCCTGGTCCTTAAGTCTCTACCATATCCCAGGTCTGGTTTCTGCATGAAATTGAAATGTTTTTCTCTTAAAGTTTTAATGGAAATCTCAGCTTTACTTGCACAATGGCAAGTTGGCCACAGTCTTTCAGCACTGAGTTTATAGACTTGCACAGCTGCAGTAACTGATGCACTGCTTTAAACTATGTCCTTCATTATTGTTCAGTTTAATATAGTTTTATATATATGGCTCACAGCAGTGTTCAGAACCGGGGGATTATTCCTAAGGAAATTAAGTGGAATGAAGAAAAATAATACAAACTTTCATTACTTTTGATTTATAATTGATCATTAAATTATAGTTCAAAGCCCGTTTTATAATTTAAATTGTGGTGCTATTGTAGTGAGATAATATTTTAAGCTATGACTTAAGAATTCTGAACCTTCTTCATTTCCATAGTTGACCAAGTTATACAGCTACACTTTAAACAGTTTCAAATACAAATGATTCAGTGTCATTGCTAAGTCCATAATAAAAATTATCTTAATGGTCCAAGGAGGTAAACAGGCTATTGGATTTACTCGAAAGAACACAAACGCTCCACAGTAAGCAAGTCTCCCTGTGTTGTTTGGATCTCTCCAATCTGGCATTCCCTCCTAATATCGTGTCCAGCACTTTGGATCAATAAATCCCACTTCACAGAAGTTAAAATAATATTGAAATCTTGTCAGCTAGGGCTGACCAGTGGTTACATTTTCCACAGGGTAATGCATTTGCAAGGACATCAATCCTCTTCCTCTGGGTGGCTCTCTTTGATGGACGCATTTCCATGATGAAATGACAAGGCGCTCTTTCTGGCTTTCTGTGGGTCAGTGTCCTTGGCAGGTCTTACAACACATCTGTCTGAAGTATGCTCGACTGCAGAACTTGAACTTCAGCACCAGTGGGCAATAAGCCACTTTATTCACATCTTTGCACTCTAAAGAATGGGGGCAGAAAATGGAAAACAATTAGAGTCACATAAACAAGTATGTAAACAAGCTGATGCGCCTGCATGTTCAGCAAGGACCCCCTTTGGGCCAATCCACCTTGGCTTCAACCTCCATGTGGTTTTTGTTTTTGTTTTTAAGCATATCCTGCCTGGTACAGTCTACTAGAAACATTCTTTTGATATATTTTAACACGATGTTTAAAAAAATGTTTGCAAGGGTTTCCTTCCAGATTTTTATAAGTATGGTGTATGCCCACTGTGTCTTGAAAGAATTACCATTTGCTGGGATAAGTGATCACTTTAGACAGCTTGGAAGCATGAGTCATTTTTCTTACAGCACTTTTATTGCTTCTTTCTCAAGGGTTATTTTATTCAACAGTGCAAGGTTATCCAAAATCAAACATGAGTTGCATTGTTTGATACCAAAGTACACATGTCTCCAGAGAATCTCTGCATCTGTGAGGTGTGGGGATGGGCCTGGGTGAATGAAAAGGATTGCTGACAGTGGCCTAGATTCAGCAACTACACTAGACAAAGAAGAAAGCTTTGAGGGGTTGGCCTCAAATGGCAGCAGTCTGTGGGTTATGGAAACATGTAGAAATGTCTTTTTCTAATTTGGAAGTGAGACATGGTCTTCTTTTTTCCTATGTGTATTTTCTCCTCAGTGCTAGAACTGCCACAGTTGCAGTCTGCAGTTCTTGCAGCCAGAAGGTGAATAAATGATTCTTTCTCCATCTCTCCTTGAGGCTGGTTGCAGAAGGTGGGATGAGGATCCAGTGTAGAGAAAGGGACATGGACTTTGATTCTCAGAACTGCCCTTGGCCCCATACAACCCCACTACTAGCAATAATGATATTCTTTTCCAGTAGTCTGGTTACTTTTGTCTGGAAATTTTAGGATACTCTGCAAACCTAGTAATGAAATTTTCACATGCCTGCTAGAACCAAAGTTCCACCCTAATTTTTCCGGGTAGTTATACTGAAGCATCCTGGGTAAATTGTTTAAGGTAATTAGGAATCAGGCAGGGCAGTGGGTAAAGTTCAGTGTTACAGAACAGTTTTTGTTATATCCTTGCTTTTACCTGACTTCAAAAACCCACTGAAGTTCTAAGAGATCAGATACATTGTACATGAGCCATATGATAAACATGGAAAATTAAGTGCAAAGAAATGGAAAAATTCCCAGTTATTATTATTAAAGATTAAGGTAACAATCTTATTGATCTCACTTTTTAAAGGCTCCTTTGGTGAAAGTCTTAAAATTTGAAACTGGAACTCCCAAATCCTTTGAAAACATAAGCTCTGCCACCCTCCAACACTTTTATTCAAGATTTGACTTACAAAGAGATTAATAGCTTGAAATTTGAATGAAAACTTTTCACAGGATTCTCAGTAAATTTAAGTTTTAGCTGAAAGAAGGTAGAAGGGACAAATCGCTTAACCTCATTGTGCTTAATTTTTCTCATCTGTAAAATAGAAATGATTAGAGAACCCACACTCATGTGTAACATGTATTACATGGGTATCCTTATGAACATCAAGTAGAGCAGTGCCCGGAACACAGAAAGTGTGGATAAGTGTAGGATATTGAATTGCTATTATTATTACAATTATTAGTTATTAGTATCTTTATTGCCTAACAGAAAGGAAGCAAGGAGTTACACTCCAAATATCTCAATGAGGATGCAATATTTGAACTACTACTGAGAAAATACTGCCCTAAAGACACAAGTCAGTTTGAAGACAAAACAAAGAGGAGTATTTCCTGGGGCACAACTTTATTAGATTTACTACTCCATTTTTGGAAAAGTAGCTGGACTAGGAAAACTCTGAGTTGAGCAAATTATAAGCGAATTCACCAATTTCCCTTTTAGATTTAGATTTTATAATCTGATTAAATTATAATACATAATGAATTAAACAGAATATTCATGAATTGCTTCTCCCTTCACCTGCCCATCCACCCACCCATTAAGGCTATTACAAATATAAATAGTCGGCTGGGCGCAGTGGCTCACATCTGAAATCCTAGCACTTTGGGAGGCCAAAGTGGGTGGATCACCTGAGGTCAGGAGTTTGAGATCAGGCTGGCCAACATGGTGAAACCCCGTCTCTACTAAAAATACAAAAATTAGCTGGGTATGGTGGCACATGCCTGTAGTCCCAGCTACTCAGGAGGCTGAGGCACAAGAATCACTTGAACCCGGGAGGTGGAGGTTGCAGTGGGCCAAAATCGTGCCACTGCACTCCAGCCTGGGTGATAGATCTAGACTTCATTTCAAAAAACAAACACCCAAATATAGTCAGGGATTCTGTTTCTTAGGTGAGTGCTAGAAGCAAGACTTTTCTCTACATGCAGAGGCACAGAATACAGCCTTTTGTTCAGAAGCAGTATCTAGTCTGTGGTCAGGCTGGAGGCTGGTTATCGGGATGTTCCTTTCTGAACTTTCCAATACGCTTGTTAAGTTAGTTCCCAACTAACTTGATTGAAAGCAGGAAGTCAGTGAGGTCCTGGGAACAGGATAGAGCTTAGGGATGTACAGATTATGAGTGTCCCCTGAGCTGTGTGCAGCAGCAACACAACCCAGTAGTTAGGGGCAAGAGATCTGGATTCAGGTGGGCCTGGTGGTAAATTCTGGCTCTGCCTTTTCTAGAAGTTGATTGTCCTTTGCCAAGTTACTTCACCTCTCTAAATCTCAGATTTGTCCTCTCCAAAATAAAGACTATGATAAGGTCTGCTCATAGAATGTTGTGAGGTTTGCATGAGGTAATGCACATAAAGCATGTGCCATGGCACCTGGCTCAGGGTAAGCATTATTCATTAGCTTTCATTATTAACGGCAAAACATCTGCCTCTGAGAACAACCGTCATGTATTATTTCTCTGGGATCCCTGTCAAAATAAATATAAGCTCAGGAAGGGTTACACATTTACACATGTAAGCAAAATAACAGAAAGCTATTAAACAGAAAGCAGGAAAATTATGATGAGGGCAGGAATGGGGAAAGACCTGTGGGAGATCCAGGGACTTCCAGGACTCAAACATTAATATGGAGATTCCTAGACTGTATGGAAGATCCAGTTCCTACTTCTTGGTTTTGCCTTCTAGGAACTGGCCTAACTAGAAGAATCAGTTCATTGTATCTTTAGATTTGATGACAATCTATTCACCAACCATGACTAACCTTTTATTCTCTTTTAACTCCACAAGAGCTTAATTTAGTAGCATAAAAAATTATAACTTATTAAGGATATCCTTTGTGTAAGCTACAACATAAACATACATATTGTAAATATAAATAAATAAATATATATATATATGTATATATATAAATCTTTTTAAGTTCAGTCATGTGTTGCTCAATGATGGGGATATTTTCTGAGAAATGCATCGTTAGGTGATTCTGTCAATGTGCAAACATCATGGAGTGTACTTTCACAAACCTAGATGGTATAGACCATTGTATGCCTAGGCTACATGCTATAGCCTATTGCTCCTAAGTTACAAACCTGCACAGCATGTTACTGTACTGAATATTGTAGGCAGTTGGAACACAATGTAAGTATTTGTGTATCTAAATATATCTCAACATAGAAAAGATCCAGTAAAAATATACTATTAAAATCTTATGGGACCAACTTTGTATATGTTGTCTGTTGTTGACCAAAACATCTTTATACAGTACATGAATATAAAATGTCAGCTTTACATAGACAGCAAAACATAAGCTCAAAAAGATTATGAAACTCATGTTGGTCATACAGCTAGTTGGTCTAAGAACAGGTCTGTCTGACTCCAGAGCCACTCTATTTTGGCAATATTTTTGGTATCTAAATGCAAAACGTTTCTACCTGTCTATGACTCTGTATTCTTGAGATGACACCACTGATAAATCAACTTGGAGCATCATAGCCAGGGTTTGTTTTTTAAAGAGTTGGCTGTGCCACTTTAGAGAAGAGGAAATATGTTTTATAAAGGAGGTTTCCAGAACAGCATCTGAATTATTTAGAATAGCCTGAATTATCTTTTTATACTTTCTGTCACGATGTCTTCCTCCTCAAATTTTGTATAAGTACACATGTGAAAAGGTGATTTTAGGTACACCAAGAAGTTTTAAAGCCACATTATTACAGAAAGCTGAATGTAATCTTCAAAATATTAGTACCAGTTTTAAATTATATTGGGGCATTCAACCCATCTACCACTTTTAGCTTAGCTAAAGAGGACTGATTTGTTGTGCTCATTGAAATTTTGCTGATGTAGTTGAGAGGCCTTAATTATAAACGTATTTCATTAGTCTGCTGCATCTTTAAGTCCAGTGCAATTATGAAAGCCTTTTCTCTTTTACCCTTCAGCAGTACAACTTAACTTTTATATTTAAAAACAACAACAACAAAAAAAACCATTCTGGAAAAGTTGTACATAAATTAAATCACATATCCCATTGAAATTAAAACAATAACAAAATGTTCTGTTTTAATTTCTGAATGATTTATAGTTGGCATTGATTTCTAGCTGATACTTAAAGTGTTTAGAAATTAAAAATTCCTTTATACCCAAGTGGTGTATAATGTGAGAATAAATAATCTAAGAGATCCATTAAAAAGAATTACTTAGTTTGAGGGTTTTTTTGGTATTATAATCACTCTGTAGTTAATTTGTTTTGAAGGTTTGAGGTTTACTGTCATATTTTCTTCATGCAAACACACTTATATCTACTGCTTTCTAAGTACTGGAATCTGAGCCAGTGGGTCAAGGATTTTAAGATGAAGGAGCCCCTGATTTTCTCTTCAACTATCATCATGTACCAGCTAAAGTACTCTCCTAGGAGAAGAATGACAAGACACTCTACCCTTTTCTTATAAGGATATTGGAAAGGTAAGAGGTGCTCATCATGTGGTTTCTAGTTAACATTTTGTAACCTAATTATTCTCTTTTTACACTCCAATCCTGAAAGAAAAGTTGCACTTTACCCAGGGACAGAGACT